CGCTCAATATTTTGACATATTACCACCGGCATGACGTCGCGGAATCTAATGAGATAAGAATGTAAAAGCCGTTAATTATTTTAAATCAGAAAAAAATGTAGAAGATTTTCTAAACTGTAACAAATTAAACGAAAAATATTCTGATTTATATTTAAGTTTTAACACCTCCGAAAAAATTTCTCCGTCTTGATTTCTCTGATTCCAACTTGCTATTGGGCAAATAATGTTTTAACTAGAAATTAGGTTTACTGCGGGTAAAACCTGTGTCCCATGCATCCGTTTATGCGATGGTACCAGAGATTAGTGGAGAGTCTACTAATCTCTGATGGTACGATGATACGAAAGTGTTTCTATTGGTTGGAGATCTGTCAATTCGTCCGCGGTCTTACGAACTGAGAGATCTCCAACCAATAGAAACAATTTCGTATCATCGTACCATCGTATAAAGGGATGCATGGAACACGAGCTTAAGACGTGATCAGTAGGAATAGGGACATCCCACTCAAATTCCAATCGAAAAAAAAATGTTTTGTCGATCGAAAAATTTAAAGCGCCTTTCAGACAATATACAGAGGGCCTCATAGCTAATAACCATGGATCCTGGGATATGGCCGAAGTTCGAATTGGACCACGCCTCCCATGAGGGCTTCTTCCTGAGACCAAAATTGAATAAAAAAAGGTCGGGCATCAAAGTCTAACCCCGCCTCACCGCCAACACCAACTCCTTTGTCCAAAAACCAGCAATCGACAGGGCTGAAACCTCCATGGCTTGAACTATTATATTATTCAACGATTATAATCAACAACAACCATTGTCACCAACTTCAAAGGTAGCCGAATTTTGTTTCTGGACATGAAAACTTAGTTTTCAAGAAACGATTATTTTTACAAACCAAAAATAGATTTTTCAACAGCAAACTAACTACCTTAACTGCTAACTTAAAACTAATTTCCACATGTCGAATGCGCAGCTTATACAGGGTGTCCCAAAAGTAACGGCACAAAACAAAATGGTGGATTCCTTAGGCGAAAATATGATGATTTAACACAACTTACCTTAGTCCGAAAGTTGACGGTTGCCACATACAGGACGTCAAAGTTACATTTAATTTAACTTTTTCGTTATTCTACTTTGAACGGAGCTGCATATTTTAACGAAATTTGATATACGGGGGTTTTTGAGCATAAGAAATCCAAATCTACCATGAGATTTTGATCAACTTGTAGAAAAAACCACTGACAACGATATCTGAGCAAAACAATTGTTTCAACTTTTTGGTCACCCCGTATTATGACTTCTAAGCTAGTTGGGTCTAATCGCCTATTAATTTTGTACAAAAAAGGTATTCTTAGTCGATGTCCCAACAAGCCTCTGTTTCCGAGATGTTTGCGATTACACCGCAAAATGCAGTATTTTCAAAAAATAAGCCACAATAAGTATTTAAGTGAAAAAATATTTCCTAAACATCATTCTTTAACAGTAGGATCTTTTTATCTTAATCACTAACAATAAAACATTCATTTTCTACAGCAATTGCTCAAAATGTCCCCCGTTAACTTCAATACATTTTGAAATGCGTTTATTGAGGAATCGTCTTATTAAAAAAAAAACATATTTTCATTTTGAAATCATTCGGCGGCATTCATAATTTTATTTATCAACTCGTCTCGGGTGCCTACCGTTTGTTTGTACACTAATGATTATAAATAACCCCCAACACAAAAATCGAATGGGTTAAAGTCAGGACTTCGCGCCGGCCAAGCCCAAGAACTTCCACGACATATCCACCGATTTGTAACATGTTGGTTTAGGTAATTACTAACGGCTCTAGCAAAATCGTCCTCTAATAAATTCTGCACCCGCGTAAAATGGCAAGGATAGAGATTTTCTTGCTGAAAAATCCTATGAGCTGAAGTCTTGCTTACGCCAGTTGCAGTTTCCAATTGTCTTGTGCTTATTTCTGGATTTTTTCCAACACGAACCAGAACGTCTTACTCTTGATCTGGAGTTGAAATTTTCGGACGTCCCAAGATATTAACTTTGGTCCGAAAGTTTTCCCTAATCGACAGTAGATGTCTCCGAATAACTTGAAATTCGGTTGCCCCTCTATTGGGATACAATTCTAACTAACGCAGTTTGGCACTGCGTCCACTAAAATTTAGCTGGACAAAAAAATTATGTTTTTGGCATATTAACTAATTGAAATCAAAACTTAAGTATGTAGTGGCCTAGTGTTGCTTTGACAGACACCCAGAAAATCCGTGTCGCTGCGTCACACTACTGGACATGCATTGTAAAATGTCCTCACAAGTCTGCATTTTGCATAATCGCAAATATCTCGGAAACAGAGGGTTGTTGGGACATCGACCAAGAATACCTTTTTTGTGCAAAATTAGTAGGCGATTAGACACAACCAGTCTAGAGGTCAGAATACCGGGTGACCAAAAAGTTAAAACCATTTTTTACCCAGATATCGCTGCAAGTGGGTTTTTCTACAAGTTGATCAAAATCTGATGGGACATTTGGATTTCGTATATTCAAAACCCCCTGTATACGAAATTTCGTGAAAATATGCAGCTCCGTTCAAAGTAGAATAACGAAAAACTGAAATTAAAATGTATCTTTGACGCCCTGTATGTCGGCAACCGTCAACTTTTGGACTTAGTTAGTTAGTTAAGTAAGTTAGTAAGTTGTGTTAAATCATCATATTTTCACCCCAGGAATCCGCCATTTTGTTTTGTGCTATTACTTTTGGGACACCCTGTATAGTGATTAAATGCTGCATCGATAGTTATGGATTAAAATACACAGTGGTCTGCGTAAATGGTCATATAACTGCCGCAACAACAAAAACAACAACAACAGCAACAACATTCCCACCACAACATCAACGATACAACTTCCAATACAACTTCGTAGTAGTAGCACCAAACACAACATCCAGGATTCAATTGGCCCTAGAATAGGAGAAAGTGAGGAAAAGAAACAAGGATGTCATCATCAAGAGAGAGAATGACTTCCTAATAAAAACCAACGAGGAACATGCGAGAAACCCAAGTCAATAAATGCACTTCAGCTGATAATCGAACGGGGACTGCTATCCTCTTATAAGCTCAATCAGAGTACAGCTTCTAAAGCCAACGAAACCCGACAAATGTCACCCTCTTATTCAGCGATAGCTACAGGAGTCGATTTAGAGATCACAGACTCAATATTTAGTTGTTTAGTATATTAAATAAAGTTTGTAAATTGCCTGAAAATCTTCGATCAGGATTATTTGCTGAAAATTTTGGAGGTTTGTAGAGTTAAGTTACTTTTGTAAATGTTCCAAGAGACAAATCTGCCCCTGCTCGAGTTGCAGGTGAAAATTTATTATTTTTTATTTTTCATAAAAAGTCGAAAGGACCACTAACTTAAGACTCCATTTATAGTATGTAATTTAACAATTTCTATATTGTTTTAACTGTACCCTCATGGTTCAAAAACGTTTCTATTTGAAGTATTAGAAGCGTGTAGAAGCTATTCGTTACTTATCTATGAGCGACTTTGCGGTAGAGTGCTTTTAAGTAGGTACTTAAACATTAACATCCTTCAACAAACTAAAACCAGATGTAGAATTATTTTATTATTACACTCGCTAGTTAAAAGGTGCTTTTATCTAAATGATTCCCAACCTCATCTGTTTACATACAGGTTGTAAAATGATTACTAGAAACTATAAAAGCAGTTAAACTCACAGATTATCCAATTCCTGTGGCACTTAGTGCATTCGAAATGATTATCCAAGCCGGTAAATTCCAAGCGCCCTTATTTGGACCAAATCTCCAGATTTTGAAGTATTTCGGTATTTTACCTAATATGAATTTTCAAACAAACCGATTACAAGGCAGGAAATTCAGCTTGTTCTATGTAATTTTTTTATTGACTGTAATCGTCCTAATGGAAATATACATCTGGGTGCATAAGTTTTATATGGATTATTCTACGGAAAGTTATTTACCAGTGATCGTACGAGTGCTATGTGAGCTGACCGGCTTCAGTATGTTTGTTTGCGTAGTTACATGGTCATATACCAAGCAAAAGCTCTGGGAGAAGTTGTTCCAAGATATAACTTCCATATACATCCAACAGATTATGAGGGAGACGCAAGAACGGAAGAAAAGTGTTTTGAGGAAAGCAAACTTATACTTCGTTCTCATCTCTTTCCTAATTTTGCTCTTGTACTGTTTGGACATCATTTTCTTCAGGATCGAATACCAGTCCATTAATTTCATTCTATCCTACGTATATTTTTACTACAATTTCTTACTGTCCAATGTCATCGGCCACATTGCATCCGAAATATCCTCTCAGTACAAATACATGACAAACGCTGTAGCTGCCAGCGAGTATACAAATGAGCAAGATTGCAAAAAAATGTTGTCTGAAACCCGGAAATTGTACACAGAAATGCACAAAGTGATTGAGACATTTAATACGCTTTTTGGATACGTATTGCTGCTAATGGCAGTTCAGTGTTCTTTGCAAATATTGGATTTTGGCGTGTTTTTAATCGAAATGGTTTTGCCGAATTTTAAATTCGAGTATGATGCCTTTTTCATCTATATGGGCTTTATTTTACTGGACCTGGTGAGTTCAATAATATGCCCACCTTGTACACTTGTCGGCATTAGTAATTAAAAAAATCTTTAAGTTTTACAAATCTCTAAATGTTCCAAAAATATATCAATCTAACATTTTGTTGCATAATTAGTACATTTAAAACCGTTTAAAGGTGTGTACATGTAGATACCTACACACAGATCAATTGACGAATGAAAATTGCATTTGTTTATTATTCGCTGCAAACTTGTAAATTGAGCGCAGGTTATACTTGATATAAAATATCAAAAAGTGACTTGCCAAATGTGAAGGTACCAATAAAAACAGTAAAGTAACAACCATACATACAAACTGATGATGGTGGAGAAAACACCGAAACGTTTTTGTGACATTTTAAATGGTAAACAATAAAATTGACTGGAACTCAGGAATTTCTTTTGATTTAAAATAAAACACAACTACAGATAAAAGTTTACTTTTTGATCTATTGAATGTAACGCGTTTCTTAAAAAAATTAGTGTGTTTTTGCAGGTAGTTTTTTTAAGTTTTAGTTTTAAGGATTTAGGATAGAATAGAAATAAATATGCAACAATACAAGGGCAGAAAGACCGTTGGGTCGATAGCCTTTTTCTTGAGATAAAGTCTATATACATATATATATGTACATATATTTTAAAGCATTTGGGATCTTTTTCATATTTTTAGTCAGATCTTGAATCAATATTATGATTTTTTGCTATTTTTAATTTTTTAACAGAATTTGAGCTGTTGCGAGTAAAAGCGAGAATTGTTAGAAATTTAAGCATTTGTAGACTTGTAAATTTTGAAAACGTAAACTTTTGATCCGATTTATTCTAGAGCTAATATAATCTGCATTTGAAACATACAGAACTCGAATATGCAGAAGAAGGGTAAAAAAGTAACAGGCAGAGGCTTTCAGCCGCGCAGATATTTTGTTTTTCTGTAAAATTTCAGTTTTTCGCTCAATATACGTATATATTTTTTAAGCGCATGAGTTAAAATAAAAGTTTCTTCTGTAATTCCAGATTTGGCTTTCTGTGGCTCAATCTCGGTGCGAAATGGCGAAAGACGAATCAATGAAACTGCGCTCTGCCTGTTATAATCTTTTGGACAATTCAAGTGGTTCCGGCGATCTTCATCAAGAGCTGAAAGCCTTAATCAAGCAAATCAAGAACAGGCCTGTCCGGTTTACAGCAGCTGATTTTTTCGAGATAAAGCGATCAACTACTTTTACTATTGTGGGAGCGACTGCAACATATTTTATCGTTTATGTGGAGCTGAGAAGTAATGAAAATACCACATGGAATAATGGCACTTTATAAGACTGAAAAAGCATTATTAATTAAATATTTACAATTGCTTCCACCCAAGTACAATTTGCTATTTCATTTCTTACTAAGAGCTGGCCATATAATTTTTAGTTTTTGTCTCTGGCTTTTAAATAGGGCTTTTAAAAAATCTATTGCTGTTGAAAAAAATAATCAAACACATGCAAACATAAATATTCGAGAATAGGAAGTTCCTCGCACTTACAACAATGCGACAATAAACATTTTTCTTCAAACGTTGAGTTTTTAAATGAAAAAAAAAGTATGGAAAGGGCAGAGCTTTCTAGTTTGATGGCGTTAAGAGCAAAAAATATACTTCACTTAGGATATATTATTTTGTACGCTTGCTGTCCATATATTTGCTCTAATGCACTTGTCCAGTTGATTAATGCAATAATTTTCTACCATTCACTTTTTACTTTAGACAAGCGAATAAAAAAAACCGATCTAAATTGTTTTTGCATCATGAGATTGAGCACAGAGCACAAATAAAATATTTCAATTTAATATGGTGTTTATATCCAATTTTAAATTTTATTTGTATGTATGTACTAGGTAGACGATTAATAAATACATTTCTAATGCAACTTACACTGAGAGTAGAAAGTAGTCATTTTCCTATGGGTTTTCTCAGGTAGTTGCCTATTATCAGAGAAAACATACAAAGTAACTAAAAATACTGCAAATAACTCGAACAAATTAGAAAATACTGCAAATAACTCAAACAAATTAGAAAATACTTTGAAACTTTATCGAGAACTAAACATTCTGAAAAACGTTTCGTATCCGTTACGAAATCAAATAAAATATTGCATAAGGTGCCGGAAAAAGTGTTCAAAAGTAAAATGGTACATAAATGGTAATATACAAGGAGTCTGTAAGTAACGTCGATATTAACATTTTGAGAAGTGATTCTAAAGATTGCTTTTTAAAGGTTACGACCATTTAAAAGGAAAATTCAGTAAAAAGATAGCATTATTTTCCATGGATTGTCGTTAAAATTATGAAATTGGGCATTATTCAATAAGTGGAAATAAAAGATAATTTTTTGTATTAATATTTGAGGATTCTCCTCACTAACTACTAATTTAATACGTAGAGCATAAGTGGTAAAAATAATTAAAACAACACACATATTCCAATTTCTGTTTCAAAACTATTTGTTTTCGAAACGCGAGATTCATGGGTTCAGTTTTTACATAATTTTACCACCGTGTAGTTTTGTGAACGCGAAATTTTCATTTAAAATCGGTGGTATTTAGAATAATTTTAAACATACCAGATGCACTCTCCTTAAGATCCACTTAAATAGTTGCAACTTGGGAAATGCTTTGGAGGTAAGCAAATGAAGCAGAGGAAGTTTTCATGTTCAAGTGAGTGCAAGTTTTTAATTTAAAAATTAGCCATTAAGCCGCTTATATTTGTGCTTAAACAGTAATGAAAAGTTACGGTTTAAAAATCCGTACATTTGAAAAAAAAATTATTGTGTGTTTGAAAGAAACTCTGTCTAAATCACAATTCGCTACAAGTTTACTGGTCATATGTAACGTATTTCCTAAAAAGATGAGCTCATTTGGTATGGTAGTTTATGAGTTAAGGCCAAAAAGTGGGTGAACCTAAATCATTATTACACACACATTGTTTCGAAGAACCGTAGCAATCAAATCAATATTTCATAAATAAAGCATCATCCGATAATTTAGTACAAGTGCTTCTTGGGAACTATTTTAAGGGATGAAAAAATACATTTCGAACTTATTTAACATTGTTGAGTATTTTATTTATATTCACAAAAATATACAATAATCTTTTTATAGTTGAGTTGATCGGTTTTCCAGTCCATTTTGTCCACTTCGCCCCCAAAACCCTAAAATATCTAAAAGTCCAAGTGTTAAACTGTTAGAAAATATCTAAAAAAATCACGTTGTAATATTCGATTTACGGAAAACTAGACAAAATCACGAGCACTGTAATAACAAATAGGGCACTGAAACTGCTCAGATGTCTTTCGGCTGCTGACCTAGTTAGAGCAGTCCGTTTTATACAGTCTTCAAAGTCTCTATAGTCGATGTGTGTAATTGCGCAATAGTGATTGTGAACGCAGCTGAGATCACATTCATCACGTGGATGTGGAAGAACTTTTACGGTATTTGCTCGATGATATCTGCAAAAAATGATAAAAATTTAAAATAACCTGTTTACAAAAATATCTTCTAAGTTTTTCCGATACAACCTCATATCAAGTTTATATATGGGATAAGCTACAAATAATGGAAAAGTTTTAATTTTTGCAGACATTTTTGCGGTGTTAAAGAGGTATTTTAAGAATTATTTCAATAAGTTTATTTGTCGTTTTTATTATATTTTATCAGCCCAATTAACTCGAAATTGATTAAAAGATATAGCAGATATAATAAAAAGCATTAGATTTATAGACCGAGGAAAAAATCATTCAAATCTGGTCCCACAGCAAAATCTCTCAATTCATCCGGTTCCAACCTCTAGAGTGATTTATAGATCAAAACATTTCCAATTGGGTTCAATATAGAAGCTTTAATACGGGCACATTTGCGTTCAATTTACCTTTCAAATAAGCTTGTTATTTCTTGATCTGAATTAACGAATTTTCTTGCTAAATGGTGTAGATTTTCAGAAGTTATCTCGTTTATTCCATAGTATGATGTAAAATTGTACTCCACTACCCACTCAGCTTTTGCATGTAAATTTGATTCGGATAAGTCCATGTAGTATTGACTGTAGTCAAAAACCTGCAGAAAAGCAAAAAATAAATTAGCATTAACATTAAATTAATATCAAGTTAGTTCAAGCCATCGAAAAGAAAGGACACTTTTCACTAATCTGCTATCAACGTAGCAAGCTATGCACTAGACATATCCAATCCCGGAAGCAAATTAAATCCAATATAGATAACAATACGGATAAATTTCCTTTTGCTCTTCTGACCATCGACCTGCTCATTTATATTTATTGGGAAGCGCAATTCGTAGTATCATTTTAAATTATTATTGCCATATTTGAGTGGAATCGAGCAACTGAACGTGTTCGAAGTGGATCGCAAATCACTTTGTAATTCATATTCGTAATTTATATAGTGCTAGGAATCATTAAAACGTACGTACATTTAACATATTTTCCACAATTTATAGATACAATTTAGATTTATAATTTTGTTAACGATTACAACGCGGTTTGCAATGAAATTGCATGTGAAACTAAGTTCAGTCAAGCAGAAATATTGTCCGGATTTTGTATGAAATTTTGCATTAAAATGATGATTTTTTTGTTTGTTACTGCTGATATCTTGAGGTAATTTTAAGAATTTTTTTTTATCGTGAAAAATAATTACAAGTCTAATTCTGGCTTCGGCAATTTTCCGAATATTTGTATGGGTAACTTCTATATTTTTAAAGATAGAGAATCCGCTAAATCGGCAATACTGGGCAGAATTCGATTACCTATTCATTACCGTTTTCAAAATTTAGGTACCCGACTTGGTTCCTGAAATATCCTGAAAAGACAAGAAATAAACATTTCTTAATTATCACTTATTACGTAAACTGCTTAACTTAGAAAAAAAGTTAAAACTGCCATTAGTATAAGTTTTTGCGTTGAATCCAATAAACTTGCACTCGTTATCATAGTCAACTTGATTTACGAGATAAAAAATAAACTTATGGTTTTTTAAATGGTAATCATAGTTGGCTGTGGGCTCTTTAAAATCCTTATTTTTTCTGAATTTAACGATATAATTGTTTGTATGTTTTTTTTTCCTTTTGTTGCCGTAAAACTTCAAAAGAGGATAAAAAATGTATAGTACGCTATGGAAACAGGAACTATATTATCACACAAAGCACACAAATCAATATTGAAATATGTCTCTGCTGTCACTTCACTTCCTCTGTGCGGTTCTCGTCGTCGCTTATATAATTTCCTCCAGGTAACCCAGATGGTTCTCGAAATCTCCAGAACAGGTGCGAAACTTCGCGCTTGTCAGTGTCATATGTGACAGTAACTGGGGCGCAAATGGGGATCCCATTTACTGAAATACCATCAATTTTAGTCCCCCCATTCTAAACGTGAGTACTCCAGGCCATTTCCGTTACAGTATTATATGGAAATTTGTAAAATTTTCTCTTTTTAGCAATATACGTCAAGTTACCGACCTTGCAGATGTGAAAAACACAATTTAGTCAATTCTTTAATGGCGGACGAAAAGAACTGTGTGCGTTTTACTCTGTATTCGTTTAAAAAAATAAGGATTTATTTATATTTTGTGCGGCAAATCCATGTGGGTCCAAGGAAGAAGGTTCTCTGTTGTGGTTTTGTGGCATTTTGAAATCCATAGTGTAAATTCCAGCAAAAATGCAAACAAAAAAATGTTATTGACGTTTACTGTCAGCTTTGCTCTACTTCACAACAAGCCATCAGGAACAGCTAGTTAGCAACGGATTGGACTTTTGTCTGGAGTTTGAGGACTCTCTGTGTATGGCATAGATCATGGTCCATAGACAGAAAGTAATGATTCGGCTCGAAGGATCAAAATGTAATGATCCGGCTCGAAGGACTAATGTTTTCGTTGAGAGTGTTGGGTTTGTACAGTTGGAAGCAGATACATGAATAATATTGATCTGAATGTGCCTAACCAGCACTGGTAAAGACCGTTTTATTTTCCAACCGTGAGTGATTGGGCTGGGCTGTATGGCTGTACACTAACCGATAATTTTGGGGGTGGTCGAGCTCGATTGTGACCTTGGATATCTTAGGGTGACCGGCCCGAGGAAGAATAAACTTTCGGGGTTGATTGAAAGAGTATATATACTCTGTCATCACGGCAGTGTGTAGGGAGATTTTAGATTTACGACACGATTCACTACAGTGTTTAGGGAGACTGTGTGTTTGCGACTTTTTTCTTCACGATAGTTTACGACTATTGTCGCTTGGGAGATTCTTCGCGACTTACCACAACAGTGTTTAGGGAGACTGATTACGACAGGCCACGACAGACTTTAGGAAGATTGATTTAGACTGACCACGACAGTGAGCGTCGACTAGTTTCGACTGGCAACAACCATGAGTGCTTTGGTCTTCGGCTGACCACGACAGTGAGTTTAAGTATCCAAATTGCAATTTGTAGCTGTACAATGGTAAGTGCGATATTGAAAAACTTTTATAATTAAACGGAAACTTCACACCAAATTAAACCGTTGAACTCGTTTTTCACCATGATTTTTGTCTTGTTGTGAATAAACATCAATTTCATCTTAATGAAATCAACAATCATCAATCATCAATCAATAACCCTGTATCTTAATACAGGGTGATTCAAAATTGGCGTCATTCCTCTGCAGGTGTTGCCTGGCGCTGTTATAGGAGTACAGAAAAAATAGTAATAGAAATTAATTGTTATTGAAAACTGGGAAATTTCCAAAAAACTATATCAGAAATACGGCAGCCATGTTTTTCAAGGTAATATGCCTAATTAACATTGCGAAAATACCTGTTGCTTCGTAATTATTAAAAACTCCGGTAACCGTAGAATTACACAGAGTGACAATAAGATAGACAAGGACAAACGGTAATTTCAACAAGATTCGTTGACTGCGCAACGTACTTTCGACATATCAACCTGTTCTTATAACCTCGAATTCTGCGGGGTTTAGTGTTTACATAAATAATCCATACAACACCAAACATTTGAATGGTTAACTGCAAACAAGCTAGTGCCGGTGTAATTTTCTTATTATCCACCCTTATCAAGCAGGTTCTCGTATTCAGTTAATTAACTCGAGCTCCATTTGTTATCTTCTTGTGCTGTGTGTATCGTACAAACGTGGTAGTAATGTAGCCCCACCTCGGTATTATTTGGTGCTTGGGAAAGTGTCAGTTATTGTGCTCTGAGTGCCCCTGGAAGGCTCTGATTCGGTTATGTCCAATACTTGTTCCTCTGTGTCCGGAACCCAAACATCGATTGTCGTCCACTATCTTCCTGGAACCACTCTCCTCGCCCTTTGTTGGCGTGAGTTCTTTCAGCTTCTGCTATGTTACTGTAGCATTTCCCCTGATCTAAGCGCATATCCGCAAATTCGTGAAAGGAAATTCAAAGTAAGTCACAGTTTGACAAATTATTGTTTTTATTGAAAAAGGCTATCCACCTGTAACTATCTGCTAATGACAGGAAACATCATTGCCGCTGTGATTTTTCATCAAAAAATTATAGAAGAGAACTTTTTTGATACCAAAAATTTTCGTTATTTGAAGCAAAGATCGTAATTTTTCTTTTTGAATGCTTAAGTATTCCAATATGCTACCAATTAATTACACATGGAACATTTTCTAAATAATGCTTAATAACAAAGTTGAAATTTGATCTTCAACCATTAATATCTTCTAGAAATTTTAGAAAAAAAATCAATATTTTGATCGTACTCCCCAAGTGAGCCTCTAATACCCCTTAAAATTTTTCCGCCACTTTTGAATCACCCTGAATATTAAGTTAGTTTCACTAATAGGCCATCGTGTAGCCGCGATCATATTTATAAGTATTTTCAACCAGTTGGGAACTATCTTACATTATGATGTTATTATCGGGTTTTCTTGAGAATTTGCGCTTGCTTGCATATTTTTGAACGAAAATGTAATTTACCACAGCCAACCGTCCAAATTTCCAACTAAGAACTGCAGCACAATCCAAAAGTAATTTAAGCCTGAAGATATTTTTCAGTAAATATGCTTTTTATCCTACCTGAAAACCTACCAAAGTGCGTCAATTTCATACATAAATTTGTCAAAATGTGAAGAAAAAATGTCTAAGACAAATTTAAGGTTTCAACAAGGCAAAGATCTAAGTTTACCAATTATGAGTTTGTGTAAATTTTAAATCTGACGATGGCGCTGTTGTCTCGCCGAAACGTAATGAAATAAACGATATTAATTTTTTTTTGCTTCAGACTTTGACTGAGACCCAGACAGGAAAGATAAGAATATAATAACAATTACACGCAGTCAGGAAAATAAATCAAAATACATAAATGAGTTCATTGTCGAATGTAGATGCTAAATAGATTTTAAAACTGCGTTTAGTAAGTAAAATGTAGACAGGGTGTCCCATAAAATAGCTTCATTACGTGTGAACCGTTAGAGATAGGCAAAAATGAAAGAACCAAAAAAAAGAAAGAAGAAAAAGAAGAAGTGGCTTCTTAATTTTTCAATTCTTCAAACTTCAACCTCCTTTTTTTGAAATGAAAAACCCTATTTTCATTATTAAATTCACATTTATTTAATACATAATTGTCAATAATTTGCTTTTATATGACAATTGAAATGTTAATTAATGAATTTACCTAAAGCTAACTTAAATTTAACCAGCTGTTCATATGTGTTTTTTAAATCGTTTCAAAATTCAAATTTTTCAATTAGCTAGAACTTTTTTCCATTTCTGTTTTATTCCACACAATTTAATTAAAAAATTCAGTTTTAATTTCACAGATAACTTTTAGACGTAATGAGGCCTTCATATTAATGGGCCACCCTGTAGATTTCCAAAATCATGCAATGCGACCATATTTTCAATTAATCAACCAGAAATCAGTCCGTCTTCCTTTATTAAGTCGCTTAAATCCTCTGTTATTGAATGATTCCAAAAACTAACAGTGATGTTACGCAATCATGCAACAAATTCAAGGTATCTTTGCATATCGGATTTAAGATGAAATTATTACATAACATTTTGAAGCTTGTTTTCATGCATGAAAGTGCGCTCAACCCGATACTTTTGATGCGCTTTTTAACTACTGCTGATCATTAATTAATTAATTAATTAACAAGTGATTAACATGCTTGCAATAAATAACTAAATGTCCACACTACAATGTCCATTGTCTCAGGCTGCCATTATGCAAGTGAATAATGTCGCTATTGGCAGGTGCCTGTAATACGTCCTAAAAGCTTGTTAATTATCTTCAGCATATGCAGTTAATTTATGTGCTGCTTAAGATAATGAATTAATCCATATAATGTCCAGGATTTTGAAGTAATCGTTAACAGCGAGCGTATTTTTACAATAGATTTCATTACCTGTCCAGTATCCTTGTTGAATTTATATAGTCTTAAGCTGGGATTATTCGGACCCACGTGGTTCCTCTTGGGAGTGATTGAGGGGGCGATCATTGCCCATGAAATAGGTCGACCTAATAAAAGACATATTATAAAAAAAACCCAGAAAAAACAGCGCAATTAATTTCGCTTATATTCAGCAGGCCTGGTTGATGACTGCCACTCAAAGATTTCTGGAAAATGGCCACTTCTTAATATTAATGATTTTTATCAATAATCTCACCATTTTTATCATGCATAATCCTGAAGGTGTCTGAGTGTAAATGTCCAAAAAACTGCCCTGCAATCACTCGTGAGTAGTTCCGAATTATTTCGATGTACTTTTGGTTGTGGAAGCTCGTATAAGCCTTATGAGCTGGTGAAAAAAGACCCCTTTGTCTTTCATCTCGGCCTGGAGCCACGTGACCCACTAAGTAAACCTGGAAAATAGATGAACATACAAAAATCACTTTATATGTAAATAATGCTTGGTTACTTTTTCCTTGTTTTGTTCAAATTTATTTAAGACTCCTTCAAGCCATTTCCATTGCTTACTGGCATCTTCATCTGTATCGCTTCTTCTCATAAGATCTGTATTGAGAACGACAATGTGTAGTTTGCGTGGTTTGCGCTCTATAATATAATATCCACCTAAAAAAAACAATATTTTTTAGACTTTTTGTAGTTACAGGAAAATGGAGAAAAATGCAACTTTGCAATTAAATCTCAAAAATCTGCATATCTTACGTTGAAAAAACCAGTCGACCATTTTTTGCCGCATTTAGAAAATACTGTTTGTCTAAAAACGCAAACAATGATTATGGAACTCGAAAATCAACACCTCGAATTGGAAATAAGATCACACAAAGTTACCGTCACAAAGCAACGATCGCTTCTGACTACTTCTACTAAACAGGAAAATTAAAACTACAGAATAATTTT